CTGCGTCCTCGGTGTCTCTGTAGGACGCCTTCCGGACCTTGAGATCGCCGGCGCTCTTCTTGCGCCTGATCTTGCTGTCGAATGCGAGTGGGTCGTGTTCTTCGAGATCTTCTAGCGTCCCGTTGGATTCGGAGGAGAAGCGCGTCGGGGTCTCGACATCGTCGTCGACGGGGTTGTCGAGCTTGGCGTACTTGCCACGGCGCATTTCGTGAACTTCGTAGGGCGGCATCTTGGTCGGCGCCGGGGCCTGCTTTAAAGGAAGAGGTGGGCGGTGTTGTGTCGTTCGCGGCTCAAACGGCTAGGCTATCGATGACGGCGCGAGCGTGAAGCTCTATGATGTTGAGGCTAGCATTGAATGTGATAAATCGGCAATCACGAGGGAGTGACGGATCGAGTAAAGAGGACGTAAAGAATGTCTACGTAGGACAGAAGACACGGCGGATACAGCGAGAGTCGTGGTTCAAGGCGAATGTTTCACCCGGCTGGCTTGCGCGCGATGGCGTCTCGTCCCTGACTAGGTGCCGATCTCGTGGGTCGACTCCCGCCCGCGCTTGCGTCCAGGCGGGCCTTCTGATTGCGCATCATCCACCCTTCACCAAACCACTCGGATATTGTTTGCATAGATGTTTGTATTCATGGCTACATTTCTCAACGGTTTGGTTCGTCACCTCTAACTTCACATCCTCTCCAACAAGCCTATGACCGTTCACGCTTATGCGCCGACCTGGTCCAGTATGCCCTGCAGGTTGATCGACTTGGGCCGCTCGATGGGAAGACCCAGTGCCCTGTCCCAAATCAGCTGTGCGAGCGGGCCCAAACCACGGCTGACACCGAAAGTCGCTGTGTAGTAGAGCGTCTCCTTGAAACCGAAGTGGTGGAAGAGAACACCGGACGAAGAGTCGACGTTCGGGAAGGGGTTCTTGGTCTACAAAACAAGTCAGCAATGATCTGAGTTGATCGGGATATTCCATCTCACCTTTCCGTGCTCCTTGAGGACATCCGGCGCAACCTCCGAGTTCTTCTTGACCAGCTGGTAAACAGGGTCTGCCGCAATCTCGGGTCGTGCGTTGGCAAAGTCCATGAGAGCTTCGAATCGCGGGTCGGGCTTCCTGAGCACGGCGTGTCCGTAACCAGGAATAACACGTCCAGACTTGAGAACGCTCCAGAGGAACTCGTTCACATCCTTCTCGGTGAACTTCTCACCAACGACCTTCTGCATGTCGAGGATGAAACGCAGCACCTCCTGCGCAGCCAGACCGTGCAGAGGTCCTGCGAGTCCTTGAAGACCAGCACTGTAACTCAGGAAAGGATCGCTGAGCGCAGATCCGACCAAGTGTGTTGCGTGCGCCGAGACGTTACCGCCCTCGTGGTCACCGTGCAGAGCAAGGTACAACCGAAGGAGGTCTTGGAAGCCCTCGTTCTCCTTGCCTGGCTTGCCCAACATGGCAGCGAAGTTGTACGACCAATCTTGGTTCAGGTCGATCTCGTTCGGGAGAGCGCCTCCACCACGGTATGCGTTCTGGTAGATCTTCGCGGCGATGGTAGGCAGTTTGGCGAGCAGGCTGATGCAGTCGTCGAAGGTAGGCTCCCAGTAGTCGGCTTTGTTGATACCCTTCTCGTAGGCTTTCGCGAACTTGGACTCATAGTTCAATGCTGAGACAGCGCATGCGAACTGTGTCATCGGGTGGAGATCTTTGGGGAAGTCGTCCAGCATCTTCTGGACGAACTTGGGAATCTGGCCCTTCTCGGCGAGCTCCCGCGAGAATGCGCGAGTTTGTGATACTGATGGCACTTCGCCTGTGAGGAGCAACCAGAACATGGCCTCAGGAAGCATCTCAGTGCCGGAAGTGCCCTTGGGCAGCTCCTTCTGGCAGTCTTTGATGGTCTTGCCGTGGAATCGAATGCCCTCGTTCGCATCGAGAACTGAGCCTTCCCAAACCATGGCCTTAAGACCCCTTCATACTGTCAGAGCACGCTTCTAGTTATATCCTAGGCTCATACCTCATGCCACCGAGCGCATTCTCAACCTTGACATCGCCGAGCTTCTTGTCGGCGTGTGACTTGACCTTCTTCAGGAGCTCACGCTTCGCAGGCAGAACCTTTTTGAATGTCTCCTTGAGATCCGGCTCTGAGGAGGAAGAGTAGCTACATGCTTGCACTGCAGCGATCAACGCGTTAGAACAATGACGATTGAAGTGGGTGACCCAATGGCATACCAGAAACAAAAGGACGCGCCTGTAAAGCGTTTGTCAGCTCTCAATGTCTTGTCCATGCCGTCGCATAACTTTTGAAGCTCACCTTGGCGGCCCGTAGAGCTCGGGAAGCTGATCGTGCACTCAATGCCATAGCTAGCTTTACGTGGGGTAGATGCGGGGGATGGGAGTATCACTCTTCAACACACGGAATGCAGAACACAAGAACACGATGATAGCGTTACAAACTTCACGAGCAACTAGCAGAGAAATGTTGACGGCAACTCTCGGTAATGCAGCTACGATGCGCCAGGCACGCGTGGTCCGTTGATGCGAGTGCTGCGTCGAATGATGGACCGAGGGGCAGCTGGACGGCTAGACGTGGGCTACATACCTCGGTAGTGACGTCGGCCACGCGCATCCCTGGAGAAACGTTACCGCAAACACGACGCCGGACGCACATTTTCATGCGACCCATCGCTATCTGCCTGTGCGAAGAAGAATTAGGTCAGAATTGAAAAAGGCGTCTGTGGCGAACGTCGTCACCTGATCCCCTGCGATTTACGGATACTTTTCCGTGCCTGATTACCAACTGACTCTCCGCCGCCAGCCTACTAAGGTATACAGAGAGATTCTGCTGGCTGGAGTCTCATCCACACATACACCTCCACAATGCTACGCACAGCATCGCGCTCCATCGCGCGCCAGGGCCGACCATCGAGGATAGCGAGCCGAACACCACAACTCCTACGCCCACTCTCTGCCACGGCAATTCGCATGTCGAGCTCGACGCTCAAGAATGTAGACCCTCCCGTATCGTCAGCGCTCCCTGGCGATTCCTTCCAGCTTCTCCCCGAAGCTTCGAAAGCGGGCCAGGCGGAGGATGCGCTCTTCGAGGAGCAGGTACAAGCCGTCAAGGACTGGTGGTCGTCACCGCGGTATAAGGGCATCAAGCGCCCCTACTCTGCGGAGGATGTCGTGAGCAAGCGGGGGGCGCTCCAGCAGTCATACCCCAGCTCGCTAATGGCACGGAAGCTGTTCAACCTTCTCGAAGAGAGGGCAGCCAAGGGCGAGCCCGTACACACCAGTGCGTTTATCCTAGCCTGCATAGATAGTACAATGGCTGATCATGTGTTTTCAAACCCCAGTGGGCGCAATTGACCCCATCCAAATGTCCCAACAAGCTGCGAACCAAGAAGTCCTCTACGTTTCCGGATGGGCGTGCTCCTCCGTCTTGACCTCCACGAACGAAGTCTCCGCCGATTTTGGCGACTACCCGTATAATACCGTACCGAACCAAGTCCAGCGGCTGTTCAAGGCTCAACAACTACACGACCGCAAGAATTGGGATGCAAGGAGGAAGATGAGTGCAGAGGAGAGGGCAAAGACACCTTACCTGGACTACATGAGGCCAATCATTGCTGATGGTGACACTGGGTACGTTTAGACGACCCGCGAGGTACGTTACCATGAAGCTAACATGTAACAGCCACGGAGGTCTCTCTGCCGTAATCAAGCTGGCGAAGCTGTTCGCCGAGAACGGAGCCGCAGGTGTGCATTTCGAAGATCAACTCCACGGCGGAAAGAAGTGCGGGCATCTTGCAGGCAAGGTCCTCGTACCAGTCGGCGACCACATCAACCGCCTGGTAGCCGCACGATTCCAATGGGACATGATGGGCTGCGAGAACCTCGTTATTGCGCGCACTGATTCAGAGAGCGGCAAGCTCATCTCCAGTGCGGTCGATGTGCGAGATCACGAGTTCATCAAGGGCGTCACGGAAGACTCCGAGCCCCTGGCCGAAACACTGCAGAACATGGAGGCAGCTGGCGCACCAGGCAAGGAAATCGACCAATACGAGGCAGCGTGGGTGAAGAAACACAAGCTCGTAACCTTCGACGAAGCCGTGGTCCAGCACCTCGAGAAAGAGAGTGCATCTCAATCAACCATTGATTCATACCTCAACGAGACGAAGCAGAACCCGGACTACTCTCTTCTCAAGCGCCGGAAAGTTGCCGAGAAGTACACCAAAACACCCGTGTACTTCAATTGGGATATCCCCCGTACACGTGAGGGCTTCTACCACTACAAGGCCGGCGTCGCTGCCGCGACCAAGCGCGGTAAAGAATACGCTCCGTACGCAGATCTTCTCTGGGTCGAGACGGGCGATCCGAATGTCCAAGAGGCAGCCAGGTTCGCCGGCGAGATTCGCGCGGTTCACCCCGACAAGAAGTTCGTGTACAACCTCTCTCCCAGCTTCAACTGGATGGGCCAAGGCTTCTCCGAAGAAGCGCTCAAGTCATTTGTCTGGGATCTGGCGAAACACGGATTCGTCTTCCAGCTCATCTCGCTTGCCGGAGTACACTCCACTGCCACGATTACCTGCGAATTAAGCAGGGCGTTCAAGGATGAGGGTATGCTTGCGTACGTCAAGCTAGTACAAGCAAGGGAGAAGGAGCTGGGTTGCGATGTGCTCACACACCAGAAATGGTCTGGCGCAGGGTACATTGATGGCATTTTGGGAGCGATCCAGAGTGGCAGCTCGGGCAGCAAGAGTATGGGCGAGGGAAACACTGAGACGGGTTTCTAGAAATGTAAATATAAGATAGCAGATCAAGAGGTGATTCGAGTGTTCAAAAGATGCCGATGCTCAATGCGTGACTAAAGAGGAAAGGCGGAATCTGGGGCTCTTGCCTCGGTCCAGCCATCTTTCCCGGGCGACCCATCATCACGCTCGATACCGCCCCTGCCTTCATCTCGCGTCCACAACATCTCATACCATTTCAAAGCGATTCCGCAATTTATACAACATGGCCAATAAGCCCGCCATACCCGAATGGCAACGTGCCTCCGCCGATAGCGCTGCAGCGTCATCCGAGCCCGAAGAAGCACGCGCGCAACACGCTGTCGAAGCCCCGACACCAACCGAAGACGACGTTGAGAAAGATGATAAGGAAGAGCAACCATCAGAAAGCTCGGAACTACTAGACCAAGCATCGCGCTTTCTCGAGGATGACACAATCCGCGATGCGCCGCGAGAGAAGAAGGTCGCGTTCCTGCAGTCAAAGGGTGTGCGCCCTGAGGACATCGAGACTCTGCTAGGTCAAGAGCCACAAGAGAGCACAAATACAGAGCTCGAAGCAGTTGGAGAACGGGCGTGGTCAGAAGTGAGTGCAGAAACCCTACTCGTGAAGCGCTTGAAGCCCAGGCCATCGACAGTATCACAGAAGAAAGACACTGACGCGTACAGACACCGCTAAAGCCGACCTCAGCACCCGAAGTCACGTCTCAGCCTCGCGAAGTCATCATTCAGCCCCGCGAAATACCCCCGATCGTCACCTACCCAGAGTTCCTCGCGAACACCGAAAAGCCACCACCACTCATAACCACTCAGCGCCTCGTAACAACCGCATACGTAACGGGAGGTTTGATGGCGAGCATATACGGGCTTTCAAGGTGGATCATTGCGCCCATGACACACACCCTCGCCGAATCAAGACAAGATTTCGCATCGCATACGCACGAACAGTTGAAGGAGCTGAACTCAAGACTGGAGAAGGCTGTATCCGTGGATCCTGCTAGCAAAGTAAAGGCAGTTACCGATGCTGCAGATGATGTCTCAGAGGCAGACTCGGATCCTACCGAGCTTTACCATCGCGACTACGGCACCCAAACCACACCAAACCTCTCCCGCCGACCGTCTACCTCTACAGACCCACACCCCACCGTGACAGCGCACGAAAACCGCCTCAAGATCATAAAATCACATCTTGAAGAGCTCGACACGAACCGTACCAACGACGGCAAATCAAGGGATGGATTGCGGACGAAGGTGTCAGATTTGACTTCATATCTGACCGAGATGGACTACCAAAACCAATACTACCCTGGCATGGGCCGCTATGGAGCGACCTATAACTGGTCTGGTCAGAATGGCACTGCACAGAATGATCAGATTGAGGTGCTGAAGAACGACATCAGGGCTGTCAAGGGCGTGTTTTTGAGTGCGAGGAACTTTCCAGTGGGAGGAAGGAATGCGCCGCCGATACCTACCGGTAGAGTAGGTTCGTAAGATGGTAATTGCATTGGAAACTCGTGGATAATGAACGTTATATGTGAGTGTGTATCAGATTTGCGGTGTTGCTGCGTATGAGCGTTTATGCTCTTCTCTATCAGGTGATGTTTACATAGGTCATCTAGAGCAGCCTGTAATGCAAGGGAACTCTAGTTCGGACAGCGGAAGTCCGGCTGATCCTCGACGTTAGTATGACACTGGACCGTTCGCAGCTCCTGCCCCACTATACGTCATACTCAAGCAGCGACACCTTACCCTGCTGAGTTCATGTAGGTGTACCACTGCACAACCCCAACACCAACTTCAAAGCCTGGTTTCTCACAAACATGTCGGGTTGGGCGTCTAAGTTGACCTCCTTGGGTCATTCCAAGTCCGAGGACAAGGACGAAACATCGCTCACCACGCTTCTCGACGCAGATCAATGCGCGGATCTGACCTTCTTGATCGCAACTATCACAGCATCTATGCGACAGTCGCTGGTCGATACCTATACCGCGGAGGAATTTCCAATCGACTCAAAGACCGCCAAATCAGAGGAAGAAATACTGCAAGACGCGCCCTCCAACCTCGACGATGTCGATGTTGCCAAAGAAGACAAGATCAAGAAAGAGAGGCAGGCACGTGAAGAAGATGCGAGGAAAGAGCTCGTACAGCCTGAAGTGCAAGAGCTGAAGCAGGAGATGTTGAAGTATTTTGATGGTTGGCGAGGTAGCGTCATCAGCAGAATCGGCGAGGTAGTCAACTCGAAAGAAAAGGCCAAAGAGCAGACACGACAAGTCGAAGGCAAGGAAGTCAAACAAATCACGAAGAAATCCGAGACAAGTTTAAAGAGTATTAAGAAGCTCGATGAGAAGGATGAAGATGAGGACAAAATGTTCAACGAACTCTACCCTCCTGTTCCCAATGCTCTCACTCAATTGGAAGAGAGTAAACGAGCACTCATACTACATTCGCTGGTGCTCATACTTCTGAGCCTGGAGCACTACTCGGCACATTCTCGCGTCCTAAACCTCTACCTCACAAGTTCTCTCGGGCTGAGTAGAGCCGTCCTGAAGAAAGATGAAGAGACGGTTGCCCAGGGACTCCTAGAGGCAGCGTCTCAGCAGCTGAATGCTGATGCTGAGACCAAGGAAGCGGCCGAGAAATCGCAGAATGCTCGTAGATGGAAGGTCGGCCTTGCTGGCGTCGCTGGTGCCGCGTTGATTGGTGTCACTGGCGGGCTTGCTGCGCCGCTCCTTGCGGCGGGCGTTGGAAGTGTCATGGGTGGAATCGGCCTGGGTGCTACTGCAGCTGCAGGGTATCTAGGTACCCTTGCTGGTTCTTCCGTTCTTGTGGGCGGGTTGTTCGGTGCATACGGTGCGAAGATGACTGGACGAGCCATGGACGACTACGCCCGACAAGTCGAAGACTTCGCGTTCATCCCAATCCACCGTACTCAGGACCCGAGGAAACAAGACAATGAGTCTCGTCGCCTACGTGTCGCGATCGCCGTCTCTGGTTGGCTCCGCGACCCTGAAGAGGTGTCAAAGCCATGGAGATACATCAGTACAGGGACAGAAGGCTTCGCACTTCGTTGGGAGCTTGAAGCCCTTCTCAAACTCGGACACAGTCTCGAGACATTCGTGACTAGTGCTGCTTGGGGCTACGCAAAGAAGAAGATCATCGAGCAGACTGTCTTCGCTGCGATGACGGCTGCAATGTGGCCACTGGGCTTGCTGAAAATTGCGACTTTGCTGGACAACCCGTTTTCGAAAGCCAAATATCGCGCCGAGAAGGCTGGTGAGGTTCTCGCAGATGCACTGATCAATAAAGTCCAAGGCGAACGACCGGTCACTCTTGTTGGCTACTCTCTCGGCGCACGCCTGATCTTTTCCTGCCTTGAGAAGCTGGCTGAGCGCAAAGCTTTTGGTCTTGTCGAGAACGTCGTCCTCGTCGGCGCTCCATGCCCTTCCGACGTTGCCGATTGGCGGCGTATTCGTTCTGTAGTGAGTGGTCGTTGTGTCAACGTCTTCTCCAAGTCCGACTACATCCTTGGCTTCCTCTACCGCACATCCTCTATGCAACTTGGCGTCGCGGGTCTGCAGCCCGTCGTCGGCGTACATGGCGTTCAGAACGTTGACGTCAGCGACATTGTGGACGGTCACCTCCAATACCGCTTCATCACAGGTTCGATACTTCGCAAGATCGGCTTCGAAGACGTCGACATCGAAGAAGTCGAGCGTGCAGAGGCTGATCTAGCAAAGGAGAAGAAGAAGGAAGAGGAGGAGAGGGCGAAGAATGAAGGTAGCAAGGGGGAAGGTAACGAGGAGAAGGAGAAAGAGGAGCTGGAGCAGGCTGTGGAGAAGAAGCAAGAGCAAAGCTGGATGCAAGTCACGCAGCAGAAGATGAAGGGTCTCGACATCGGTGGATTCGTCAAGGGTCTACCGGGAAAGGTGGCTCCAGAGTATGGAGCGGAGAAGACGGCGAAGAAGCATACGGGTGATTTCAAGGATACGAAGTAGTGCTCTAAGAGTGATGCAAGGTTTGCAAAGGGCTTTCGAATCAAGGGTTTTGTACATCAGCTAGGGAAATGGCGGATCATCAGGTCTCATTCAATGAAGGCTCTATGTTTGAAGAACAAATCACTAAAGTCGATGTTTTGTTTCGTGGCATACAAAATGAGCTGCAAAATCCAGTCCATCATTGTAATGCATGTGCTCCATTCGTTCATGTGAAAGCTTTCCCCAGCTTAAGTCCCGATGCGGTTAGTCGGTTTGTGGGGAAGCCGAGGCATTCGTTCACATGTCGCAGGTGAGGCTTGCACGGCGACACCTTCTGCGACGTGCTGATCTACCAAACATCACAGCCGGCACGCACGATACCGCACTCTGGAAGCCTGTCGCAACGGCACATGTGATCAGCTAAACTACGAGACTACGCGTTCCACACCACTGCGTATGTACTAAGCACCACAACCCACTGCGCCACGCTCTCCGCACAGCGTCGACCTCTCGCATAAGACCAATGCCTCGTCTACGATAGCCATGGCTGTCTTTTCGAAACCGCTCTCTTCCCATCGCCTCACCAGCGCGTCTGCCAAAGCCATAGTCAACGACCTCACACGCCTGTACCTGGAGCACCGAACACGCATATCACGCGCCGTCTACCTCACTCTCTTCGTCGCCCTCATAAACCGCATACGGAATGCGATCGCCGAGCAAAAGGCCGCGTCCATACGGCGTGCCTCCAAAACAGCGGACAAGACAACAGCAGGCGAGGGTGAAGCAACGGGGAGAAAGAAGGTAGAGCTGAATAGGGAATTCTTCAAGAACCTGCTGAGGCTTTTGAAGATATGTATACCTGGGTGGAAAAGCAAAGAGTTCAGGCTCTTGATCGGACACAGTGTGTTTCTGGTATTGAGGACGATGATCAGTTTGTACGTCGCGGAGTTGGACGGAAGACTGGTTAGCGCGCTTGTGCGAGGGAAAGGAAGGGAGTTTCTCCTGGGACTGGTCTGGTGGATGGTCGTGGCCGTGCCAGCGACTTTCACGAACAGTATGGTATGTTGAACTTCCTATCCCACTACCAGAGAGCGAGACGGCAAGGCCGCAGTTGCCCATGAGGAACCGAAGACGTGCTAACAGACCCAGCTCTCGTACCACCAGTGCAAACTCTCCCTCCAATATCGCACGCGCCTCACGAATCACATCCACTCCAAATACCTCTCACAGATGACCTTCTACACGCTTTCCGCCCTTGACGATCGCATCGCAAACGCCGACCAACTCATAACCGTCGACGTCTCCAAGTTCTCCAATTCGCTCGCCGAACTCTATTCGAATCTTGCGAAACCGGTTCTGGACATTATAATCTACAACTACTCGCTCTCGCGCAGCGTCGGTGGCGAAGGGCTGTTCTTCATGAGCCTGCTGGTTCAGATCTCGGCCAACGTCATGAGGGCGCTTACCCCACCCTTTGGCAAATACGTAGCAGATGAAGCGAGGTTAGAGGGCGAATTCAGGTTTCAGCACTCGCGGTTGATCGATTGGAGCGAGGAGGTGGCACTGTATGCGGGACATGAGGCAGAGAAGGATACCTTGGATAAGGGATACTTCACGCTGATCAAGCATGTCAATCGCATATTGAGGAGGAGATTCTACCACGGAGTCATGGAGGACTTTGTGATAAAGTACTTTTGGGGTGCGCTGGGATTGCTGCTATGCAGTGTGCCAGTGTTCTTCAAGGTTCCAGGCACAGGCGGCATGACTATGGGAGACCGGACGGAAAGTGAGTACTCAAAATCCGCAGTGCTTGTTTTATTTGCGAGGAGGACGATTACTGACAAGTGTTTCCACAACAGGCTTCGTCACCAACCGGCGAATGCTCCTCATGTCTAGCGACGCTTTCGGTCGCGTCATGTTCTCGTACAAGGAGATTACCGAGCTCGCCGGCTACACTTCACGCGTGTCAACCCTCCTCGACGTAATCGACGACATACAAGCTGGCCATTTCGAGAAGAAGCTCGTTTCATCCGCCGACACCGAGGAGAACGCATCCGTTCTACGCGGTCGCGGCACCGTAACCGAAGGCACGGATATAGAGTTCATCGACGTGCCTATAGTATCTCCAAACGGCGATGTACTCGTGCGCAAGCTCTCCTTCAGCGTGAAGCCAGGAGACCATCTCCTCATCGTGGGACCTAACGGCTGCGGCAAGAGCAGTCTGTTCCGCATCCTAGGCGGCCTCTGGCCCGTATACGGCGGCAAAGTACGAAAGCCACCGTTCGAAGACATCTTCTACATCCCGCAACGTCCATACCTCTCACGCGGAACGCTACGCCAACAGATTATATACCCAGACTCGCTACACGACATGCACTCCAAATCCATTACCGACAACGATATCCTTTCGATCCTCGAGACCCTGAACCTAGAATCTCTCATCGACCGCCCCGGCGGCTTCGACGCCGAAGCACAATGGGAAGACGTGCTTTCCGGTGGTCTCCAGCAACGCGTCGCCATGGCGCGGCTTTTCTACCATAAGCCTCGGTACGCCATCTTGGACGAATGCACAAGTTCTGTTACACTGGAGGTAGAAAGAGTGATGTATGAAGAAGCGAAGAGACTGGGTATCACCCTCATGACAGTCAGTCACCGGAGAAGTCTTTGGAGGTACCATACTAGGATTTTGCAGTTCGACGGCCAAGGTGGATTCTACTTTGGAGGGTTGGATGCGGAGAGGAGGGCGGTACTTGAAGAGTAAGTTCCTTTCCATTTGCGTTGTTTGTGAGCTTTTTGGAGTATGCGAGAATGCGCGCTAACACTTTGGTAGTGAGAAGGAAGACATCGACCTGCAGCTCAGAGCTGTTCCGGACATCGAGCAAAGGATCAGGGAGTTGGAAGCTTCGCGGTAACGGATGTGGATGAACGTGGTCCGATAAGTTCAATGGGCGCTGGTATGTGGTAGCCGCAGATCTATGCGTAGTTATATCATATCTAGCATGGAATGTATGAGATCGCGCACTGCAACAAGAGGGCATAGCTTCGTAAGCTCACCGCGTGATATACCACGAGATAATGCATACACACATCTAATGCTGATCAGATACGCATGCATCTATATGCGAATAGTGCATAAATGGCGGTGACATGAACGATACTAAGGGCTTTGCATCTGCGATGTTGATGCAGAAGGCGGCAGCAGTAGCTTGAGAGTGATGCAGCGCGCGCATGTAGAAGGCATCTTGCACATTTGGGCGCACGACGCGCATGAACACTCAGAAATACAATAAGCAGGTGGCAGTATAGCCATAGAGGAACATCAAATGTGTAAGGAACAGCTCCCATAGACAACATCATCATATACTACACATCGCAAGAGGCGTGGCACGGAATGTACGCGGGAGCAAAACTCAGACGCGTCGAGGGGCGTGGTTGCGGATGTCCGGCAGGAAACTGCCTCAAGGCTTACCCCATCTGTGTATTGGGTGGCTGGGAAAGGGCGAAAGTGGCCTCATGGGCGTCATGTTAAAACGAAAGTCGCGGTTGAGCGCGCTCAAACGCGCTCAGATGGGCTAGCGTCGGGTGCTCCCGTGGGTCAGGGTCCATTAGCGCGAACACCAGCTCATCCGAGACGCGTCCGAGGTTTAGCGCCTTGATCCGAGCCATCGCCGCGCCAAGCCAGCCCTCACGTAAAAGCCGGCCACCTCGCTCCTCCCTTCTCACCTGTACACCACACTTTCTGCAGCTGCCCCATGCCACTTTCCACAACCACAACACTCTCAAGCCGCTGCTACTGCTTTGTTGCGTATCTGCTTCTTCTTCTGCTCTGCACTCTTCACACTTCAGCTGAGTCAATTGTTCGCAATTGCTCTCCCCCTCACGCGCAGCTGCTTCTCGACGCGTCGCGTCAGGTAACCACACTGCACTCAGTCACCACGCTGTCTGCCACTGCTTCTCTCCACACTCTCAGCATTGCTCCTGGGTAGTCTCCAGTAGCCATGACTACCCTCAATCTCAAGCTCGGCCAGACGGTCGAGACTTCTGGCGGTGTAGACGGCATCGTCCGCTACCTAGGCCCCATTCACGTCTCAGAGGGGCGATTTGTGGGAATAGAACTCCCAACTGCTGATGGCAAGAACGATGGCTCCGTACGCGGAGAGCGTTACTTCACTTGCGCACCTCTCCACGGGCTGTTCATCCGCGACACTAGCATTGTCAGCATCCTCTCTGAGGCAGCCCCCGCACCGGCTCCTCCTACTCCACGAGCGGTCTCCAAAACAAAGGCACCACCCACCACACCCAGAGCCCGCCCATCAAGCGTGGTTGCCCCTAAGCCTACAACCACTACAAGGACAACCACATTGAGCAAGCGGCAGTCAGTGGCAGCTCCCTCAACATCACAACCGCCTTCGCGTGGCCCAGTCCGAAAGGCCAGCGTGGCGAGCACGTCAAGCAACTCTGCCGCTGAATCATCTCGCGCCCCATTCTCTCGACCCGAATCCTCCCGCCCAGAACCTTCTCGTCCCGAACCCTCTCGTCCTACACCATCAACCTCAAGACCGAGTCTTGCATCTTCAGTCACAAGCAATGCTGGCAAAGCAAGTCGGGATAACAACGTCGACAATCTGCACACCAAGATTAGGCATCTCGAGAAGCAACACGCGGAAGACCAAGAGCGCCTGAGAGAGTATGCTCAGGTTCGCGACGAGAAAGAGCGCTACAGCGGCATCATCCAGCGGCTCCAGAACAAGTGTCAAGCTCAATATACCGAGATTCAAGAATTGAAGGACCGTGTCAACACACTTCAATTGGAACAACAGGCTCTCAACAGATCACACCAGGACCACGAGGTGGACTTAGAGGATGCCTTGGTGGACAAGGAGATGGCCGAGGAGAGAGCGGATCAAGCCGAGGCAGAGATCGAGTCGTTGCGCAAGCGCCTGGAAGAGCAGACGCTGGAGCTGGACATTCTTCGCGATGAGGCCGACCTCTTCACAACAGAAATGTCAGAGGATCAGAAGCAAGAGGCTGGATACTACCGTCTCCAACACGAGAATGATCGCATGCGACAGGCGTTGATCACCCTGAAGGAGATGACAGAGGAGCGGGAACAAGACTTCAAGGCACACATTCTCGGGCTCGAGGGCGACGTCGCACAGCTTGAGTACTACCGACAAGACAACGCCAATCTACAAGAACGTCTCTCTGTATCCGAAAACCTTGTGGACCACCTTAAGCAACAGTTGGACGCCGCCAATGAATGGGAGGAGATGGTCGAAGAGTTGACCCAACAAAACCAGAATCTCCAGGATAGAATCGCGGAGCAGGATCTGGTCGTACAAGATCTTGAGAACCTACGGGAACTCAACGACGAGCTAGAAGCTCAACACCTTGAGCAAGAAGAGGACATGCTTGCAGAGCTTGACGCTAAGAACAACGAGCTCGCTGAGCAAGTACGCCAGATTACCGAACAGACCCACATCATCGCCGACCAAGAGTCTCTGATCTCCAAATTCCGAGACCTCGTCATGGACCTACAAACCAAAATGGCCGACGCTGAGTCTTCCAAGACTATGACGGAAGCCCAAGTCAAGGATACCACCGGTCGCTTCAACGAAGTGATGGACCTTAACCGCCAACTTCGTGCAGCCACTGTGTTGTCGACCACACGAGAGATTGAGTCTTCGCTGGTATCGCTCAAGGCAGATCAGCTTGCTGAAAAGCTCGAGATTTGGAACGAGACAGAGTCCAAGGAGTTCACTCGAAGCGAGTCTCTCCAAGCCTACCTCGCAACAGAAAGGATCGCTGGGAAATCCAAGCTGCTTGTCAATGTGTTGAGGAGCACCTGTCGTCACATGAGCAATGGCGGTCGATTGGACGATGCCGTCTCCAGACTCGTCTGTGAAGAGTCCATCGTTCACCTGGAGGTCCTCAAAGACGGAAGCAACCGTCTCTGGTCTGCCATTCGTGGCTTATCACTTCCCGAATTCGCCAATTTTGGCCCGACGTACCAAGAATTGATCTCGGTAGAGCAGGTTCTTGATCAAGGCCTCAACGCTCTCAAAGCAGACACACTCAACTTTGAAGAATTTGCTGGGTCCTTGGAGCGATCGACCAAGACACATGAAGCAATTCTGTCAAGCCACCAAGAGGTCCTTGCTGCACGACCAGAGGGAGAATTCCTCTCCATAGCGACTTCGCTCCACGCGAGGATAAACTACATCCTCTATATTTACGATCTGGCACACTTCGTCCTAGAGAAAGTGCCCGAGAGCATACGCGAAGAGTGCGCAAAGATGCTCATTCATTTCAACGAGCCAGTCGATACTTTGCAGGCTACATCCACGGCTGCGGCCAGGTTGCAACGGACTCTGAAGGCTCTGGTTCAGGATCATATGTATCCGGAACGACCATCTGATTTCGAGGACGCTTTCAGATATGACGAAAAGCTGGCATCAGCTGCTGGAACCCTCGCCGCTTTCGTTCGCAGCCTGATCGAGGAGGTTGCGAAGTGCACCAGCCTATCCGACACCGAGCCAGTCCCCGCTCTTGAGCTCCGCGCGATCAAAGATAACATCGATAATCTCGATGTCGATCAGAATTATGCTTTCATGTTTGCCCACCTGAACACCATCACTTATCATCTGAATTCCTGGGCCGACCAAGCCGGCATACTATCAAAAGCCATCGAGATCGAGCACGGACCTACGCCCTGGGCTCAGAAGGCGAAGGAGGTTGAGGCGGGACGGAAGAAGGACGACGAGGCTGTGCGCCAGTTACAAACTCTTACCGTCGAGCATCGTGCCACAGTTCTGAAGATTCACGAGCGAGAGCAAGTCATTGCCACCAAAGAACTGGAGATTGAGCACTTGATGGCCAAGATCAAGGACGCTACCAGCAAGACCGAAGGTCTCGAGGCTCTCCAAGAAGAGCTCACGACACGTCATGATAAGATCATGGATCTTCAGGCTCTGAATCGATCCCAGATGATGGAGATTGAGGTTTTGAGAGAGCGCCTGGCCAATGCCGACGAGCATGCGCAAAACGACGCAGGACACGCCATGGAGACCATTGCCGCTCCAGTCGAGCAACCTCGGGAAGAGGATGACCCGCTCGCTCATCCCAGCAAGCTCAGGACTATGCTCGAAGCCCTCGACAATGAGAACCATTGGCTGCGCAAGCGCGAAAACAGCTGGGCATTCAAATGGAACGTGCGCCAGACGTTGATCAGTCTGGACACCTACAAGCATGTCGACAGAAATTGGAGGAAATTCTATGAGAGGCTTTACCTCGATGACGATGATGAATTCCTCGTTTTTGAGCCATCAAGCCCAGTGCTCGAGGAGAACCCAACATATCAAATCTCGAACGCACATGGTACTGGCCGACCTAAGATGTCGGCTATCGAACTCAGTGGCATCAGCCTAGGCTGGGAGGAGCGCGCACACAGTCATAAGGTGGCTTTGGAGCAAGCCGAGGAGGACTTCGTCCACCTGTCCATGCTGTCCGATGATTACGACGACTTGTCCTTCATTGCGGTATAATTCTAAAACACTCTATCGACCAGAAGGAGAGGAAGCAAAAGACACGACTTCGCATTTACGATTCCACACGACACGGTGTTGCGCATTTGGTTTTTCAGCGACAACTCGAGAGCATGGGAAGATGCATCTTGGGTACTGGGCGTTTATTTTGGCTCTCATCACGTTTTGAGCATTGGAGTTCTTGGGTTGGCTTGGTTTTGATTTGGTGTTTATCGCGACGATACCCATGGGTCTGCATTCGCTGCATCGTTTTTTGTTGTACTTTGTTTTGTATACGTTTCCTTTCTTGTAGCTAGCTTTTTACTCTTGTCTTAGTCCTCCCGGTTTGAGACCTTGACTCACCCCTTCGGGGGTTTGAGTCGGCACTCGCCGGGAGGACGGGCAGGCATTATGACATTATCGTCTTCATCCAGTTCTTCCATTGTGAATCCCTTTGCAAGTTTGCCAGTTGGTGCTTGACTTGGTCGTTCTCACGCTCCAGTTCCTGGATTCTAGCATCTTGCCAACTATGTCGCATCTCCGCCTTTTCTTTTGTCTTCTCCACCTCAGCTTCCAATGCTGACCTCCGCTGTCTTTCGCGAACCCGTGATAATTCGTTCGGCCTTGGTTGGTTCATCACACACCACAACTTGACGCGCGTGAGCTCTTCGCTGTGACGCACTTCGATCTGCGCAAGTTGACGATCGTAGTTCTCGTGAACAGTCGCAAGCTCTTTCGCGTGAGTTGTTTCCAGGTCTTCAATATGCTTCTCATGCTCCAAACGCTCTTTATCGAGCGCGCTGCTCAGACTGAGAACGTCTTGCTCCTGCGCCCTGAGGTCTTTGATCAACGCGGTAAGTGAAGACCTCGCGGCGGCAGCGTGCGCTGTAGAATGCAGCTTGTAGCATATCAGCATGCTTCTTCTATGTTTTATGGCATTCACTTACGGTGCTTGTCGATGTAGGTTGGCGGATATTGCGACGGGGGAAAAGCTCTCGAAACGATGGATTGCGACCGCGATTGTTTTGTCTTGTCGTTACCATTGCACATGCGAGAGCGAGCGCTCCAAGGTTTATTCGACATTCTTCGGGAGATTGCGATATTGTCGGGAGACGAGGTACAAGAGATCATGTTTAGGCTGCAGCTCTAGTGGAAGGTAGAAGTTAGGTTGAGATGCTGCAAACAGAGTGGACGGGGTCTGCAATGGCGGTATGATCGCGGAGGCAAAAGTGAAGGTGAGATTGGAGCTTCAAACTACCTAGGTACGCCGACCAACTCGTATGCATGTGATCTCCGCTTTTGAACATAACCTTGTACTCAGCATCTGAGTTTGTAAGTCGCACCTCGCTTTTGTCCATCCACGAGTGGATATCCATCTACGGATGTTCGCCCACAAGCCTTGCAATCTCGGCGCACTGTTCTGTGATGCTACGCAACTTCTCGTTCGCACCTTTGTCCGCAATGTGCTTGGCTTTCTCTTGAGCCAACTCATTCTCGAGCTCGGCAACCCTACTGTTGAGCGTGATAACTTCCCTGCCTTTAATGTCATTCTGTCTTGTGAGGTTTTCGGCACACACGACTGCTAGTTTCCGATTGTTACTCTCTTGGTGAAGATCGCATAAGAGTTCTGTGTTCTGAGTCCTCACTTCGTCGACTTCGCGCTTCAGCTCCACGATAGCTGCGTCCTTCTGTGCGAATACTATGGTGTGTTCGGCTGTCAGATCTTGTATTTGATCACGCATCTTTGAAAGATGCCCGTTGTAGACTGCAGCAGTGGTGCGAATATCCAAGAAGGTTTTGTTCTGTGTGATATCAGCCCTGTTGATCGGGGCTGGTTGCGTGGAATATAGGTACATACAAGCTCGTGAGCGATGGCTGTCGGACGAGTAGACTGTACCCCATGACGAACAGCAAGAGAAGAACCCATAGTAGGTAGCATTTGGTGCTGTTCTGGCGTGCGCAATGGAGCCATTTTGTTGAAGGTGAGCGTGTTGTATCTGGAGAGGTTTGGTTTGAGAGCAGCACTAAGCCACCAGGAATGAAGCCCTGGATCATGATATACATGGTCAAGGTGAGAGACAGAAGCTGCAAAAGCTGCACAAGGCCGTCCGATAAAGCTGAGGTGAGTGCAGCCCTATCCCGCCCACTGAAACCAGGTGGTTTATCATATGTATCTAGGAATAATATGATGATGATAATCTACTCTGATCAGCAGTTCTCTTGCCACGACGATTGAAGCGACTTGGTACTACATGATGAAGTACACAAGCTGGGTCGAGGCAACGGCGATGACATTGTGAGAACATCAGTATTGCGAAAGGCCGTTGCCTCTGAGACCACTCTCTTGTCCGGCTTTGCGAAGGACCTACGTGCATCGTTTCCTCCAGGAGTCCCAAACGGGTCCAAACTCGAATTTTCATCACTTCTTTTCGGAAAGTTGCCCGTTACCGTCCATTATTGTGCTCGCTCTTTCCACGTCATTGCGAATTCCTGTGAACTGCACCATAAGACATGTGCCGGCACTACTGACATTGGATTGCTAGCACGATCTTCACGATTTGCAAATTGTAGTGCGGGCTCAGTTTTGAGGATTTTACTAAAGTGTCGCGTTCGTATACAGCGAGATCTGCGTCGAGGAGCAGTCGTTAAAGTCAATTTCTTAATCCCGAGGTCATGTGAGAGCGGGAACCGCACTAAGTAGGAGCCGATAAGATTTCCCTCTTAGGCTCGCTGTAATACCGACATGCGATACATGCTTTCGGCAGTTTCCTGTAAGTTCTTTAGCTGCGTTATGAAGTTTGGTTGACACGTGAAACGTGTTACTTCGAACACTTACCTAGGTAGTGTAGGCGAGTTGGACCTACGCGTGAGGCTATCACACTTGATCGCCCGACACATCGTGACAAGTCGCAATTGCTAGATGTGCGGGTTGAGGACATGCATGCGTGCGCGCAAACTTTCGGCGTTATTCAAAGACACAATGCATTGCACAATCACTGCTGCGACGTTGATGACGACATTCTCACCCGGCACTAGGTACGCCAGAGACTGGGTTTTGCATCTTCGTGTTTCCAGCTTTCGCAGCGCAAAGTCTTCATTCGATCCGAGATTGTGAGCGCAACGTCGGCAAGCGCCTTGCTCGTTGGATGCGACATCACCAAGGCCACTTCAGCCACTGCAACGTAATTCCAGGGCACGTGCCATCAGCCACAAAACTTGGTAAGTCGGCCGATACGGTGGTGTACGTTGAAAATGAACCAGGCTAAATTCGAGTAATCCTCCCCTCGACTAGTATTTCTTCCAGAAGACAAGTGCCATCGCTAGCAGTAAGTAGTCGTTGCTAACAGCCTCCATCTGCGCACAGCCGACAATCGGCTACCTAGGTACCCAGAGATCGGGCCCACATCGGACCCGTAGCTCTGCCGTACCACAAACTATCGCAGACTTACGACTCGTCGGTCTTATTCCACCGCGAAAGCTCGTCGCAGCTCGGCCGGGTTTGCCATCATTGCGGATACGGGATGATTCGTGTTGTGGGGGCGGCAGCACTTGAAGGGGTGCCTGAGAGACGCTATCTACGGAACCTCTCGCCGTGATGAAAATTGTCGCAATACTTAGATGGTGTAATGAATAAGGCCATCGACCGTTCGACGTTTAGACCTTGTCGCAATCGCGGACAGAGATCGCCGACACGTGGAACTAGTGTGATCTTCCACGAGGATGTCGGTGATACTCCGGTGATCTGCGTTACCCTCTGATGGGTCAACCGAAATCGCGAGAGGTGGGTGCTTCAGCACCTGTCGATCACGGCAGTTACCACGCGTGTGGAAAGTTACGTTTGGCAAGTGGCTGTTTGAAGGTAAAGTTCGTCTCAAATAGGTTTCAGCACCGGCAGACGCAGTCGTCAAAGTACCTAGGTAACATGTGTTCATGCGGGGAACGTGAGGTGGTGCAAAATACTCATCATCATTACTATGTCGAGCAAAACTACCTTGGCCTCTGCTTTCCCTCATAGCTAACCAAGCTAGCCTCATCCGTGTCTCCTTGACTATGGCTGTGCTTTACGTGATATGATGTCTTGACTCTGATGCCATCTTCCACTTTCGTATCGAACGACTCTGAACGAGGGCTCGATATAGCCGTGTTCAAGTTGTACGACTTGTGTTTTTGACTGACGTTCCTGAGTTCGTTGTTGCTGCCGTAGTTGTAGTATTGACGGCTGCGTGCCGATGAGCCGCCCAGAATGGGGAAGAGTCTGACCAGGAGAAGACGGAGGGTTGGGAGGCAGGCGCTGGTAGGAACGTTAATAGATGCGATATACGAGTACGAGTATAGAACTTACCACATGATGCCGACGCAGATTTCAATCGTGCTCCACATCGAGACGTCGTAGAACTCCCAGCTTACGTTCGATGAAGCGGCAAAGTGAACCAAGGCTTGTAAACGCAGGATGCTGACGACGGTGACGAAGGTACCAACGCAGAACATAAGCGCTACACCGACCTTCTTCTTCCAGTGTAGCTTCAAGCCCCAAAGCTGCCAAAGAGGTACACCCAGGATCCAGAAGTCCAAGGCGATGGATATGGCCGCGTTCGATGCAGTGATGGCGTTGATTTCGAGACAAGTACCTTCGTGCATGCCATCCCACTTTGTCCAGAAGTACTGGATGGGCTGGCATTGAAATATCGCGACGATGATGAAGGCGACACCCCAGAGTATGGTGAAGACGATTGTACCCCATAGTAGTCGTTGAACGCCTTTGCTGGGGAACACGCGGATGTAGAAGAACAGTAGCGTGAGTTTCAACAGCATAAGCTGCGTGAAGTAGAGCCAGGCCATAATATAGAAATATTGCAGCATCTGAGTGATCTCCGTCGGTGTCAGGGTCCAGAGATCTTGGCCAAGTCCATTCTTCACAGTGCCAAAAACAGTGATGACGGCACTGGGTATAGCGGCTATGAGTGTCGCCAGCACGCACCAGTCGTCGTAGCCAAAGTCCATCCTCGACACGGTGCCCTTGAAGGTGAAACGCATCGCAACGAAGGCTGCAGCTATGCATACCATGACGTTTGACAGCAGCACATAGCTTTGTCCGCGATCCCGTACCGGGGCTCCGCAGGTGGTCAGGCTGATGTTGCGCGTAACTTCATGTTCGTCAGCCTCTTGTTCTCTTCCGTCGGGATAGGTGCAAGTACCAAGAGCTTCAGGGATGGTGCAGCTGGCGCTCACACACAGCGTTACGTTATTTTGGAAGACATCGTTCGTGCAAATACATGCTTGATCTGTTGGAGAACAGGTGTTCGTACCGAAAGCGTTCAAGAGGCACAGTTGCTGCAAGGGTGAGCGAAATGTTAAGAAGTTGGGCTGCAAGGTACTTACAGCACATGCGGGAAGCTTTGACAGGGCAGGCTGCTGTGCTGCATGTACCATGGAGATGGTAACGAGCCACAACAGCATGCATGTGCGAATGAAAGAGGCCATATCGATGCTCTCACGCCACGTTTGCGCAAGACAATCCGAATGTTGAAGACAGATGGGCAGACCCCCGAGTTTGTAACGGGTGCGTAGGATATCGCGGAGGTCTCATGTAAAGCGACAGCGGGACAGGTTCCACCATTTATCTTCCGCCTCTAAACGGAAGGTGATCCTCGAATATGATGAACGCAGGGATCCCTCGTGCGGTTTATAGTGCGTCTCTTGTAAGGTCCAGGACTGAAACCCGCGAGTCGTAGCTACCATGGTGGCTGCCGTCATTGGTATGAAGTGCCGACTGCAGAAGCCTACCCGACCATGGCATTCCAATAGCGCAAACTTTGTTAAGAAGTGCTGGCGCATATACGGTCGGAACCTAGCATCCTTCAGAGATGGCGGCATGTCATCCAGAAAGGGGTCTTGCCTTGTTCAGGCCGGTGCAGCGCAATGTGGGGTGCGGTCCGGTGTGTCATGGGCTTACGAACGCCACAAACGCCAACCGAAAACCACGGTAAAACCTGAACAACAACGTCCACCATCCATGACCAACGGAGGATAATTTTAGACTTTCGAATATGTGACAGAAAGGGCGATGATGAGCATGGCGCAATGGCAGAGGTCTGGAGGCGGGCGAGCACGTGGAGCGATAACAGCTGCTCAGTGCGCACCTAGACATCTCGTTCGCTGCACGGCTGCCGAAATGAGGTTCCCTCCGAACGTTCCAAGACGACGAATGCCCGCCAAGATCTGCACGCCCGCCGGTTCCTGGCGCCACACTGTGTCGCCTGAGGACGAATCCCACGGTTTCATGAAGCTCAATCCTAGCGAGCAATCCGTCGTTGAGGGTCCACCCCCAAGCGTTAGGCCACCCGGCGAATCCCCCATTCATCGGTTGGCCCACTCTGCCCTGCAGTAAGTCATTCTCGCGTGCGGCCATCGATTCCCGCACGAGGTTTTCGCCGGCTTCCAGCCCAGTGCATGGCTATTCCTTGCATTGATATCGGCATGTGGCACAATGTCTCAAGTGGACACTGTCGGCGTTGTAACCTACAGAGGAAGCAGACATATTCTAAGTCTTCTTCTTTGAGATGGTCTCCGAGATGAGAAGAATAGCATGTGGCAATGCGAAAACGATAGTAAGGGGAACAATGGCTATATATGAGGGTCGGGACAAGGCTCTTGGTATTCATCACTGCCATCAAGCACTTTCAAGACAAGATGAGGCTCATCGACAACGCTGCGCTCTTTGGAGCCCTACTCCTTGCTCGCTTTGGAAGCGCCCAGGATTGTTACCGTCTGCCAAGCGATGCCGACTGGCCATCCGATAACGCGTGGTCGACACTGAACTCGACCGTGAACGGGAAGCTCGTAGCCACTGTCCCAATTGGCTCCCCGTGTCACGATCCGACATACGATGCCGACGCTTGCGACGCATTGAAGTCATCATGGCTCAACCCGCTGATACAGTAAGTGCAAGAGCTCCGTTTACATGTTGGGGTAGAACTCTAATACTCTTGGCAGCACCCCGTCTTCCCACTCGATAATGCAGTCGTACTTTGCCAATCAGAGCTGCGATCCATTCTCCGATAGGAGCATCCCGTGCACTCTGGGCAACTACGTTTCGTACTCTGTCAAAGCTACCGAGGCTGAGGATGTCGTCTCTGCTCTTGAGTTCGCCAAAGCTCGGAAAATTCGTGTGGTAGTGCGGAACACTGGGCATGATTTCCTTGGAAGATCTACCGGAGCCGGCGCTCTAGCCATCTGGACCCAAAGTCTCAAGAACATCGCCTTCGGCGACTGGTCCGATGAGCACTACACTGGCCCGTCGGTCACCGTTGGCGCTGGAGTGATGGGCAACGAGTTGCTCGAGGCAGTGCACAAGCAAGGCATGAGTGTGGTGTCTGGTGAATGCGCTACTGTTGGTCTAGCAGGAGGGTTTACCCAAGGTGGTGGACACTCGGTGCTCAGCACTGAGTTCGGGCTTGCTGCTGATCAGACCTTGTCCTTCGAGGTCGTGACTGCTGAGGGCAAGATGCTCACTGCTTCAGCAACCGAGAACGCCGACCTTTACTGGGCTCTCAGCGGAGGTGGTGGTGGCACATATGCTATCGTCCTCTCATTGACTGTGCGAGCATACCCGGCCAAGCAGGTTGGTGGTGCTGCTATGCAGCTTCTCGCCTCGTCCACCACCCCCGAGAAGTACGCCGCAGCAACTGCCAAGCTGATTGAGCTCTTGCCGGCGATGATCGACGCTGGTGCTATGGTTGTCTTCTTGGTCAGCACTCAGTACATTGTGATCAAGCCCGTCACCGTCTGGGACTCAACAGCTGCCTACGTCAAGGACGTTGTGCTTGCGCCTTATGCCAAAGCTCTTACAGATCTCGGTATCACGCCCCCAATCGTCTACAGCGAGCTGTCTTACCGCGACCACTTCGATCGCTACATGGGCCCTCTTCCACGCGGCGCATACGAAGTCAACCGATACCAGTTTGGTGGCCGTCTGATTCCCCGAACTGTGGTCGAGAACAAGACCGCCGACCTTGTCAAGGTCTACCAAGAGCTTGCCGCAGAAGGCGTCTTGCTTGCTGGTAGCTCAGCAAACTACAAGAAGCCCGCTGGAGTCGCCGACAATGGCGTACTACCCGCATGGAGAGACGCCATGATTCAGCTGCAGCTTATCACAAACTGGGATTCTACCGCTCCTTGGGCCACCATGGAGGCAGCTCAGCAGAAGATGACCAACGAGCTCATGCCTAAGATTGAAGCCATCACACCTGGCAGTGGCTCATATCTGAATGAAGCAGATTTCCAGCAGCCGAACTGGAAGGAGACTTTCTTTGGCAAGAACTACGACAAGCTGAAGGACATCAAGAAGAAGTACGATCCCAAGGATGTTCTCTACATCCTCAAGGGTGTTGGTAGTGAGGCCTGGAAGGTCAGCAAAGACGGACGTATGTGCCGTGCGTAGGAGAGTCGTGTAGTTTAATATTCTTGTACATACCACTTATTGTCCTGGGCTTCACCCAAATCAAGAGCTTATGAACTTTTCCCAAATCCCTCCACTCATCGATCCGTTCAGCGATGTTACCAAAGACCAGAGCGATTGATCCGGAGAGGGGCTTTTAGGCTGATTTAGATGCGGCAACTCAACAAATGTTGCGATTGAGCAACACAGGATGTGGCGTAGATGTGTCGTTGTGCATTGGAAGGAGGCAGGTAAGGGCATCGCTGTCTCTGGATCCGATGTTGTGCGTCCGTGCACGATGAGGCCGCCCGCGGCTAAAGCTCCACGTGACGTCGCGTCACGATGTCTGGAACCTTCATTCACCACATATTCCTGATGCCACACCGGACTCTTCATCATTCGACTCAGCCTGGATATTAAGCCACCGCAATTTGTGGGTCTATGCCAGGCTGCACACATGGCTTTGCGAGTCGAACCCTGCGCCCGCCTGATGGCTGCCTGCAGCTTTTCCGCTATGGGCATATCGAGCGTTAGTATCGGGATGCACCTCCCTCCTATGTCTTCTCAGTGAGCTGCTGTGTTTATCATGTGTTTAAGCTAGCTTTCATCAACTTACATTCTACTTCCCTTTTGCGCAAGTTTTGTCGAGTCATCTTTCTCTCGTATATCATACAGCAATAAAGGAACCGGGTTTTTTTCGCCATTTTGTGGATGCCGTCTGTCTTCAACTCAACGGTCATTAACTGCGATCGGACTGATCGGTCGTTGTGTTGTCAGGACATGTGAAGAGGTACAAGGCTTCCTTCACACCGCATTCAGGGCTAGCTAGCCGGGTCCAAGTCTGTCGGCATTCACTTCAACTTTGGCGTAAATTTTGCCCTTGTGAATAAGTCACCCGCCTCACACACCACTTGCTGCCTTGTTTCTACATAATCTCCACACGCCTGAACTATTTCGCGCTCGGTACCGAACTCACTCTACCACTCTACCACGGCGCTCGAACGATCACCTTCGCAGCCCTCTTCAACTGATAGGAATCTACACCATACTCTAACCACATCAGCCATTATGTCTAAGAGCTGTGTAATCTGCGGCACAGAGGAGAGCGAAAGCGAACTACTTATCGAAGCTCCATGCCGCCGCCATTTGGTCTGCGCCGACGATCTCGCTAGCTTTTTCGAGAATGCGACAAACAACGAGAGTCTATACCCGCCGCAGTGCTGCGATGTCATGTTTGTGTTAGACGAATATGAGGACTATCTGCCGTGGGAGGTTTCTTGGGCGTACCAGGTGAAACAGCAGGGCGAGTACACAATCCTGGCAAAGTAAGTCCTAGAAGAGAGAAAAAGCTGATCAGGTCGACGTGCGAGCAACAGATTTCAATGGAGCTAACATTTGAACAGGTTCCGAACATACTGCGCAAATCCAGCTTGCGCAAAATTTCTACCCCCCGGAAACCACGTCGAAGACCCCGAATCGAAAATCACATATGCCATCTGCGAGGCCGAAGAGTGCGGAAAGTTGACCTGTGTCAAGTGCAGGACGTTGCTCGACCAGGGAACCCAAAACCACAAGTGCGACCAGAACGAAGACGACAAGAAGTTCAAGCAGACTGCAAACGAGAAGG